TCTTTGGCAGCTTATCGCTCTCTCTGGCAAAAGTATCCCAGTATCCTTTCTGTATAACAAACAGCACAAAGCCTTCACGCGGAAATGCCAATCAGCTCATTGCTCTTGGGCCAGCATAAGTTTGAATGGCAAGTAAATGTATTGCTTTGTTTTTTGTATTTAAAATTTTAATGTGAACTGAAATAATAAAAAATATTTGGTATGTTCTAATGTGATGAACAAATCTTTCAAATTTTTTCTAAACCTAGCAAATACTGTATCAGATTTTTTTTTTTTACCTTTATCCAGAGGAGATGGTTTATTTTTTACAGAACTAGTTTTATTTGCTCATTCCTGTTCTTGCATAGAATTGCAGTCACTTTTTCATGCACTTACTTACATACTATTTTTTTCATCCTTGTACTGAACACGTTGTTTGTCTAATAGTCTGGGCAGGATGAACTGGGAGAAAGCAGAGGACAAAGGTCACCAACTATGGAGGGTCTCATAATGTCTCTTTCTTCAGTAATTTTCATTTAGCTTGGTTTTCTTTATTTTCTTATGTGTCTTTTGTACCTTCAGACAGATGTCAGTGATCGTGATATTTTTACTCTTTCATTCTATCTCTCTTCTTTGAATGTCATTATGGAAGTTTGTCCATTTTCTCAAAGGACTTTCCATATTGAGATGTAGTTTATCTGTTACTTTCCTGCTTAGAGTCTTGAATTTATATGTAGATGCGTGCTATGATGTCTGACGATCTAGGGGCCGTTGACACCTACCATTTCTTCATTTCTTATTCATGCTATTTCTTCTAGTATTGTCATGCACATATCTCTAGTTATACATAATTTATACCTTTCTTAATTTTTTTCCCTCACAGATATCTACAGACAAATGCATTTTTTATGATTAGAAAATCTAGATATGAAAAATATTGACTTGATTGATCTCAGTATAGCTGTTCTTATGCTAAGCAATCTGGACTTTTTCACTGTGAAAGGATTTTCTGTGCCACTTGGTTATACATTTTGAGACTGGTTCTCCATGAGATATATAAGAAAATAAAGATCAATGAATCTCAATCTTTTCTCTGTGATAGCTGGGAATGCAAAAAGGTGCCTCTCAAAACCTTCCTTGTTTACTTAATTTCACATGGTGGTATCAAATATGGCTGTCCATGGACTTAAAAATCATTATGGTAATAACTTTCAATAAGATTGCTTTTTCTTTCTAAATTGTAGACTCTATCAAAAGCTGCTGTGCAAGTATTTGAGGACTGACTAGGTTCTAATAGTTCATTCTGTATGAAGTTTTTTCATAGCAGTATATCATTTTACAATTGTGAGTAGTAGCCCAAAAGGTTATGTTATTTTGTCAACAAAACTTGATGGAAGATCACTTATTTTTATGAAAACAGATTTTAAATTATCATTGCTAAAAAGTTTCTGCTCATTGACAGGATTCAAAACCATTTCAGTGCTGACAAAGAATTTGGCACAGAGCTAGAACTAAATGCCAATTAGTGGTGGTAGCATGCTGAAAGTGTTCCTTGGTAGGTCTTCTTGGGCAGAAGAGGATAGAGAGAACAAATCTATTGTGCTTTTCGTCCCAATGTCTGGATAAAATTGTCAGCTTAGAAGTTCATCCAGTTGCGTTTATGTACTCTGCACAAAGAAATGTGATCATTGTGTAATCATAATGCCATTGTGGCTGTCTATCCTCAAAATAATTATGATCAAATGTTCAGTTTCGGTGCACAAGAGGAGATGTGGAGTTCACAGAGCCTTTTAATACTTTCCAAACTGGTGGAAAGCACAAGAAAACATGCTAAAATTATTAAAATGATATTTTAGATGACATTTATAGATGACTGATTTTGGTCACCATCTCTTTTGACTTTTAAATGTAAAGAGGAAGCAAGAGAATGCCCATATGAGAAAAGTAGAAAGTACTCAAGAAGAAACATTGTCCAAGACTAAGTGGTCTACATTAATAACAACTTAACTCACAGACTGTGTAATGCTTTACATTTTGCATTAATTGGTGTTTATCTGCCTACCTATTAATCACATCTATCAAGTCTGACTATCTTTGTTCTGGAATTGCCATTTGTGTTAATGGGGAATCAAAACACCTACTGTCTGGAAGCATACAAAAATAACACCAATATTAAGGCTGTGTGGTTGAGTTTCAGGCTCTGTGCAAAGACCTTTTCATGTAGATGTATGTGCAGGCTAAATTTATCTAAACACAAAGGCCATTTATATTTTCTTTTAAAGCTCTTACCATTCCATTGGCTAAACATTTCATACTCAATCTTGTAATGGAACTCTTAAGCTACCTTTAATCTCTGTGGAGGAAGTATGTACAACCATGATCTTCTTTATCACTGTGTCTATTAGTGCAGCCAAACCAGCATCTTAAGTTGCAAACTATGCAACAGATGTGAGAGTTTACTGTGAGGGACTTTTGTCCCTTTTCCTTTAAGTGGTGGACAGAGCTAGTTATTGTTTCTCAGAGATAAAGGGGATTCTTTCTAACTTGCAAAGGCACTATGGTAATAACTGCTTCAGAACCCATTCCTTCTCAGTATGTCCAGAAGAATAAATTCCAATTCCTCTGCTTGCAATATCTAATGCAAATAAGAAATTCAACGAAGACTAGTTCTGGGGTCTAACTAGCCAGGTTATATAGCCAGCTTTATGCAAAAAGTCACTGGGCTCTGGGATGCCTAGAAGGAGCCTGCAGTGTGTGCTGGTAGCAATAAAGACCAGGAGCATACAGTTTCAGACTAGGTACAAGAGAATTCAACCCATGAGTCGATTGAAAAGAGAGTTTTACAGTGTCTGTCCTTGTAGGATTTCAGGACTAAAGGTTGGGAAACAGGGTTTGAGCTCAGAATTGACTCTGCTTTGGTCTGAAGGTTGAACTAGAGACCTGTGGTCTTTTTAAATTTGAATTACACTGTGATCCTTCCAATTCAATAAAACATTTCATGAAAAAACAACCCTCTTTCAGTTCTGGTGAGTTGTACGCAGTTCTTTTTGGTAATTATTTCAAATTCTGTCATTTTAACTTAAATGTCTAACTATTTGAATATTTCAATATGGATAAATATTTCTTGTTCTGCCAGATTTAATGATAATCCTTTGGAATAGCAAAAGTGAAGGGAACTTAAGTTACATCACAGTCTTGGCATTATGTAAATAGGATTGGATCTATAGAGTGAAGAAGGCGTTCTTGAGAATCTGACATCATTCAAGACTAATTTCAGGAGTTCTAATTTGGCCAGTTTGGTGTGATCCTATGGATCGAATGTCTTTCAGTGCTTTTAGCACGTTAGATGAGCTTTTGGTTCAGTTTCATCTGAAAGGAATGCAGTCTAAGTGCTTAGCAACTACACTGCAGTGTGGACAGAAATGTTGTGAGGACAATGAACAAGTTCCTTTCAAAAGTATCCTCCTGATCAGAGCTAAAGTGTTAATATGTAATTAGTCATAGCTCTTTCTACCTGCACAGGAGATAAATGTGCAATATGTTTTGATCACTCAGTTCAGCAGCTAGTAAAATAGACTGATTCTGTTTCAGGAATATCTTGTGAGAAACCAGCATTTCAAGTAAAAACCGATTAAGTAATGTCATACGGTACTAGGAATGTTAATATCCAATAGTTGACATGTCCTAGCAGATTACATTAGTGCTTAAGAGGTACAGTAGACTTAAGAGGTACAGTAAGCTTCTTAAAGGAATGCAATCCAATAGTAAGAAACATGAATAGATTTGTTGCATCTCTGTTCTGGAATTCCAGCATAACCCGCAAAATCAGAGCTCATAGGATTTACACTGGCTTCTGCCATTGTAAGCCTTGGTGCCAACTATGATATAAATCTGGTGGGAAAGATGTCTTCAGTGGATTGCCTTTACTACTTGAAGTTAAATTCCTTCAGAGAATAAAGAATTACATTGGTATCTAGCATTTGTTCAGTTAAATAGTGCACATCCACTGTTCCTATTTGTGCAATGTAGGTAGCACTTAAGGTCAAATAGTAAATATTTCTGGTACAAAAAAGGAGATAAAATCTTCAATGCAGTGAATGACACATAATTCCACACAAGATTTAGAAGATCTTATTAGATTAAAATATTTAAAAGGAATCCCCTTTCCACAATGAAGTATCCATTAATTCAGTCAGCATAATAATTTTCTAAGAAATCCAAATGAAAAGTCATTCCCAGTCACTGTAGAGAAATTACACCTTAGTTTTGAAAGATCAATGCAAATTTCTTCATGTTGCCATTTAGTTTTAATCAGAGCATACTCATATCAAAAATGTTAATTAGAATGTAGATTTCTACTCAAACTTGCTTAGAAGGAAAATACATCAATAAAAATAGTGGCATGGATAAATGAACAGGTCAATTAAAAAAGCCATTTTATTTAAATGATGAGTATTCTGAAAGCATCTTTGCTGGAGGCAAAGCATTTAATATATTTAAATTTACCTTCCAGGCCCAGAAGAAAACTGTACTCTGGAGAAAATGAAGATGTCTGAAATATATTTAGGTGTGATGAAATAAACACGTTGGACATATTGCAGTGTGTAAGGGTTTTTGATGATGTCCATCTAATCTGAGATACTTTACTATGGTGCAGTGAAAGTATTCATGACATGAAGGGAAGTGGCACAGGCTTCTGACTTCAGTGGATTTATATCACGTACGGATCTGACGCAGATGCTAGCATGCTTTGAATATCTTTAAGAAACAAGATACTTGAAGCAGGTAAGAAATCATCAATCTAGGAAACGACTTCATTTATGTGATGATCAATGTTTGTATGGGAACTTCTGAATCATGTCCTGAATCTCTGATTGACCACCTGATGCAAGCAATAAGTCAGCCACAGGAGCACAGGTGAAGGCAATTCACCTGTGCTACCGGAAAGGATAGAGCCTGGCTGCTCCTCTCCTAGACCTATTTAAGAGCTGATGCCAGTGGGGAAGGACCTCTTTCTAGAGATCACACATTGTGGAGAGTATTGCCAGCCTACAACATTGGTAAGCATTTTTTATTTGTTATCTTCCTGTTGCAATAATCTTACTTAGCCTAGCTTTCCTGGATATTTCTTAATTATAACATCTGTATGTTCATTGATTATACACTGCTCTTACACTGTGAATCTGTGTCTTTATTTTGTACCTGGCTGACATGCAAGGTGGTGCTTCCTCAGTTTTCTGCTTGTGCATCCCTTTGACGCAACTGTTGTGCTGATGCAATTTCCTGTGGTATGAATCGGATTAGGGGACTGATCCTGATAGAAATACAGAAGGAAACAGTGGGCCTTTTTTTCCTTTATTTTCTACTTAGTTGGATAATTTCCTAATCTGACAATGGATCTGTTTGTGGTCTTCAGTGTTCTGCACCAGTGGGATAGTGTGCTGTGGCCCAGAAGTTATTGGAGGAAAGGATTTGAAGCATGATAGTGCCTCAGATGTGTAATATGCTGATGTTAAACATCACTTTGAGAATAAACTGTGATTTATTTTTTTTTTTTTTCCCCTCACATATATTTTATGAATAATTTCTTCTATTACTGTAACTATTGTTTACTAGCACACTTAAAACACAGTTGTTTAACCTAAGTAACTGAAGTAGTACATAAGCACTTGTACCTGGTATAAAGGATCTTTGAGGTATTCTCTTTCAATAAGAATGGTTATGTCCCGCCAGTTGTATTCAGAGGATATGTGTCAGTCATAAACTAAGGAAGTTTATATTCATGAAGCTGGTAGCACTGTGGATTCTTATTTTTGTCTAGCTTTTTCCATTCTTGTATCATATGACTACTTATATCCATTCAGTACTTCAGAATATTTTTGTTACTGTCATCTGATAAATACAACTTTTTCAAGAAGTGCTATGAGGAGTACAGATGAGTACTTGAAAGAAGGAATATGAGTGTATTGTTAGTTACTTTTATCATGACTTCTATCAAAGGGATAACTCCCTTGTGTTTTTCCTGGCCTCTTGTGGCTCATCATCTTGGAGCTTCTAAATAATACAGAGTTATGTGCTGAAACTACTTTTGCATTAAAGCACTGAGGCAAACAACATAATTGATTTTAGTCTTGATGCATTTCTGAACAGAGCTACATGACTTGGTTGCCCGCTGTAGCATGAGATTGGGTCTGAATACTGGAGAAATATTTTCTGGTCCTGTGAACAAAGAGGAAACCTTGTAAAGTATTTGATGGAAGAGAGACAGGGATATGTGCTCTGCAGACAAGAGTCACCTCTTACAAACAGAGTGATGGCAGATAAAGGCATTAAGCATCTTAATTTTGATGAAGTTATTGTTTCTGAGAATCTCAGTTTCTGGCATCAGGAAAAAGTCTTTTCTTTAATTCTGGGATGTTTATATTATATATTAATTTCTAGATAAATCTTGAGGTAATTGTCTTTGAACTGTCATGGCAATATTTTACTATAGTTGAGTTTCTGTTCACAGACTGATATGTCAAAGATTAATTCCAACTTTATTTTAAAATCAAGGAGTCATTTACAGAGGAGTTAATATGTAGATGATACATCAGTGAATGGTTTTCTCTTTCACATCTAAGAAAACTGTAGCCTTAAGCACTCATAAAAATAGGTGAGCTACATTCTGATAATCTGATAGTTCTCTGCTCAGTGGTTCATGGTACTTCTCTACATAAATGTGTGTGCTCAGGTCAGTGCAAATTCCCTTGATATTTTTGGAAACATCAGGTGTAAGAGCTATTATCTGCAAGAGGTGCTGGTGATGACATGACCGGGTAAACTGTTGTACTTATCAATTAGATAATTCAGATTAGAATTTCACAAACATTTGCAGAGAACAGTTAACAGATTATAAATGTTTTTGCAGATTCCAAAAGCTTTTGTAAGTCACTCCTCTTAATGACATTATTAGTTTGTGGACTTGTTTTCTTCAATGAATTATGATTGCCTGGGGAATGCAAATGTCTAATACTGCTACTTAGGTCTTTCCTTAGGCTTAGGTAACAATAGTGCCAGTGAAATTTTTTTTCTGAGTAAGAAATTTATAGAATCATAAAATCACCAAGGTTGGAAAAGGCCTACAAGATCACCTAGTCCAGAGTGTCCACCAATCACTAATATTTCCCTGCTAAACTGCGCATCAGTACAACATGTAGACAGTTCTTGAACACTTTTAGGGATGGTGACTTCACCAGCTCCCTAGGAAGACTGTTCCAATGCCTGACCATGATGTCAGGTAAGAAATTTTTCCTAACATCCGACTTGGACCTCTCCTGGCACAGCTTAAGACTTTTCCGTCTAGTACTATTGCTAGTTAAGCAGGAGAAGTGGCCCCACCTCACCACAATCCCCTTTCATATAGTTATAGAGAACATAAAAGTCCCCTGAGCCTCCACTTCTCCAGACTAAGTAACCCCAGCTTCCTCATAAGGCCTGTGCTCCAGACTCCTCACTAGTTTCATTGCCCTTCTCTGGGCATGCTCCTGGTCCTTGATGTCTTTCTTGTAGTAGGGAGCCCAAAACTGAACACAGTGCTTGAAGTGTGGCCTCATCAAAGCTGAGTACAGGGGAATGATCATCGCCCTACCCCTGCTGGCTGCACAGTTTCTGATATAAACCAGGATGCCATTGGCCTTCTTGGCCACCTGCTGGCTCATGTTCAGCTGAGCATTGACCGACACCAGTACATCAATTTCTTCCACACAGCTTTCCAGCCATTCTATCCAAATCCCATAGTGTTGCTGGGGTCTTCATGGCAGAAGTGCAAAATCTAGCACTTGATCTTACTGTACTTATTCCATTAAAAGACCTAGCTGATTCGTTGAGTAGTTAGTTCAGATGTTCAGAGGATAGAAAATACAGACTGACTCACTCTTACTCTTGAGCATCTCATAGCTGTAGAAGGTCAAGACAATCACTTGTGATGTGTGTAGACCATTTAATATTAAATGGCTTTTCCCCGGGCGTAGTGTTATTTGGTTTGAAAATAAATTTATCCAAATTTCATGATACGCTATTAAATGGGAAGAACAAAGCATGTGCAGTTACAGGGGGAGGGAGAACTTGGCTTCTCATCATTTTGAGGATGGATACAATGTATGTAATTTTGTTCAATATGGTAGTCGCATAACAAAAACATTCTAGACAAAAAAAAAAAAACAATCGCTGTATTTAGGTACCATACCTGCTTCCTGTCAAACTGAAATTCATTGAGTCCTGTTCTCATTCAAATTTCTGAAATTCATGCTTTTTTCAAAGAGAATTGATTCAGATGTGAAGAAAATAACACACACCAGAATCTTTTTTGAAGTTCTGGCAAAACTGGAAAAAATTCTTTTAAAGTCTAATAATGTTTTGCTAGAATAATATGTTATCTTTGTGCTCAAAATGATGCCAACAACAAAACGTGCTTAAAGAATTGGATTTTACTGGAATGTTCTTATTTCATACTTTATAACGTGGGTTATTAAAACATATAATGTATCAGATATTTCACACTACTAATCATTTGCATTGCCTCGATAAGAAAGAGTTCATGACTATGAATAAAAATTGCATCAAAATTATTGTGGTCTCATAAATTAGTCTACAAAGATAATGAAACAAGTAGCGGAGAGGTTTTCTATGAAAGTAGTTAAACACAGAGGTATTGAATGTAGCTTGGATGGATCTTTTCTTCCCATCAATATCTTTCAGGGAAATTTTCATGGAATTGTATTGTAGCTTTAAGCTGCAGTAAGACAGCTGATAATTTCATCCAGACACTGGAAAGCTAATTCAGTGCTTAAAAAAAAAAAACACTCCTATTGTTGTGGCTTGCATCATGTAATTATTTGAAAACTTGTTATTTGTCTTTTCAATGTAATTAACTTCTGTTTTCACACTAATCACCTAATCTTGTGGTGATTCTAGTCTAGAGGTGGTGTATAATGCAACATGCTGTTGAGACTTCCTCAGGTGGATTAGGCTAAAAAAAAAAAAAAAGAAAGAAAGAAACAAACAAAAAAAAAAACACACAAAAAAAACCAGTAACATCATCTGCTTAACAGGCATTTAGAGTGGTGGAGGGAGAAGGGTAAAGGTGTCTTGAGAGTCTTTGCAGTGTAGTAAACAAGGAGCACAATAAAATGAATGGATTTTGAAGTAGGTGCTCTACTGAAATTGTATAGGATTCCCTCCTCATTTTTAGATCTTCAGCACTGGGGGAAGCTTATGATCTTCATCATTTGAGTCAGTATGATTTTAAAATGGGGATCTTGCATACATGTGGCATATTGTCAAGTCAGGCAACATCTTTTTGTGGAAGAAATCGTTGTTGAAGTCTTACTCCTGCACTCCCCTTCTCCCAGGAAAACAATGTTTAGGTGGGGAAGGATGGGCTAGTAAGGTCAAGGTACCTGTATGGGAGTATGTTTTGATATGAGACTTTTGTACACGTAGTCTTCTGTAACAACATTTCAGCTGGTTCAGCTATTTTATCATCTTCATACCTTTATCTAGTTTTATAGGCTCTGTCACACACCTCATAGGAAAGAAAATAAAAATGGAGTAAGTTGCATCCAAGGGCTTCAACTCACTTCACATTTTGCTGCACATTTGTGATGTATGTATCAGTGTATTATCTAAGCGGGTATTTAGATAGGATTATCCAGCCAGAATTTTTGGAAATCCAGTTAGCATGACATCTAGACTTATATTCTGTCTCAGTAAATGTAAATTTGTATTGCGGCTTATTCAATTAATGACTCATTTTTAAAGCTTTTTGAAGTCTAAATCAGTGTATCAATAACAAATATATTGTTGACTGTGTTGCATTAGCAGTTACACAGAAGGCAGAACAGACTACATCCAGAACGTTGCTAAAATCACACAATAGATATTTATACAGATATTGAAGCAGTTTAGGTACAAAGACCTCTGAGTACTCAGTTTCTCTGGGAGGATACATAATTATTTCACTACAATGGAAATGTATGAGGTTTAATGTTTTTAATGTGTATTTTTATTAATATAATGGAATATGTAAAGATAGGTGTCATTTATGATTTCTTTTGTGAAAGCTAATCATTTGGTTGAGCTGTTGCATACTGCCTACTTATTGTGAAACTGGAAGGGGATGTATTATGCATTAAAGGCACAACAAAACAAAATCAAAGAATAGCTGAATTGAGCATATGATATGCCTAGTGAGATAAAGGCAGTTTATGCTGACTGTAACTTACATTTTGACAGGTGCAGATACAGAATTCAAGTACTTAACAAGAGTTATGCTTCTCTAGAAGCATATGCTGTTCTAGATTTCTCTGTGAATATGTATGTACACAGAGCAAATATGCAGAACATACATGCTTTTTTCTTTTGTGGATGTCCTCCTAATATGAAGATAAAAATCAAGCCATATTTAAAGTATTTTCATCTTCTGCCATAGTCTTTTAAGAAACAAAGAAATAATTTAGATGCACAAATAATAATAAAAAAGTTAGATTTTTTTTTCCCATGTGTTGAAGAAAGAATGAAAAAAATGCAACATCCAAATGTATGGAAATTGTATCACAGCCTGAACCTCTGATTATCTGAGGTAAGCATTGAGTCAGCCTCAGGAGCACAAGTGAAGGTAACTCACCTGTGTGACTGGAAGGGGTGAAGCCTAGCTTCACCTCTCCTAGACCCCATTTAAGGGCTGACTGCTACTGAGGGAGATTCTCTTCCTGGAGTTTGCTCCCTTTAGAATTTTCCTGTGAGCCCAGGATATGGGTGAGCACTTTAATTTATTTTTATCCCTTTCCATTGTTATAATCTTTCTAGCTATACGATCTGTAGATACCAGCCTAACCACACCACTCTGTATTTGTTGATTATACACTGAGTTACAGCCTTTCCCTAGGACTTTATACTTCTTGGGTTAAAACTGACTGAATAACATCTGACTAAATAGCACTTGTCTGGTAGTAATACCAGTGATATAAAAAGTGAGTTTCAATAGAGAAAGCGTTGTCTTATTGTAGTATTGGTGTAGGGAACCTGCTTTGGCAGGGGGGTTGGACTTGATGATCTCTGGAGATCCCTTCCAACCCCTACAATTCTGTGATTCTGTAACAAGTATCTTTATGCTCACACTGCTGTACAGGTTTCACCAATGTTATACATGTTTCACATGTTACCAATGTATTTTCTATGAAAAATTGAGTGACACAACAAAAGACAAAATAAAGCTTTATTCCCACTCTTTTAAAGCAAACTACAGATTGTACCAGTACTAAGAGGAGGAGAGGGCTTTAAGGTCATGAAGTCAAAAATGGAACAAGATGGGGAGATGCTAAGGTGAGTTTGGCTTGAAGATTTGTACCACTTCCTATTGAAAGTCTTGAAACTCATTCCTCCACTGAAATAGTATTAAAATGCTTTTCTCTGCTACTGTTTTAAGGCTAGAAATTTCTGGATATGACTTTTAAGATAATGCAGTAACTATTCTGCATTCCAATTTTTGTCTTAAATTGCTGTTTCTCTCCATATTCCAGCTATGCTCTGGGAAGAAAATGTCACAAACCAAAGTGTTTCTTTTGGATTTTGTACAAATACACTTGTTTTTTTTGTGTTTAGTTACTCTATTTAGTTCTAAAACTACTTGCTCCTGGGTGACCTTAGGATGCATTCTTGAGATTTGGTGAGAATTCCCTTCCTGCTTTCTTTGGATTTAGTAATATCTGCTTCAGGCAAATGTAACATTGAAGGATCTGAATCTTTTTCTTTCAACTGAATGTCACTTCTGTATGATTGGTACCAGCTCAAATGTCTGTGAACTAGATGCTTGTAAAGAAATAGTAACTGAAGGCCATGCTAAGGTGGCTCGAGTTCATACAAATCTCTTTGTCTTTGAAGAAAAGTTTATGAAGTGCTCAACAGAAGCTGACTCGATGTCAGCAAACTGGTACTGGGTGATGTTTTGACTATATGGCTGTTTCTTCAAATCATTTATCCAATGATAAATGGGCTGTCTCTTCTTTACCAGATATGTTCATTATCTTGATCTGATGAGATTTTTACTGTGACAAGTGCTGTCAGCAAGCCCCAATTTCTGGACTGTACCATGAGCTTGAGTGAAGGAAGATCTGCTTGTCCTTGACCAGACTGAGCTTAGGGTGTCATAAACTGCCAGTTACATAAATTACTACATTTGATGCTTTGAACAGTTGAGAAAATGAGTAAGAGCACGAAAGCACAGGAAGAATGTGATCTGTCTCCTTTCTAGGCTTTTACAATCTGGGTGCTTGGAGATAAGTTCATCTTGTGTTTGGTCTCAAGAAGATAGTAAAAGTTTTGGTAACATAGGAAACTCTTCACCAGTTTCTCGCTGTGGCTTTCAGTCATGACTCTTTCAAAGTCGATCCCTAATGTTCCCAGTATGCTTCAAATGCTTAAGCTGTTCTCTGAGACTGTGATAATTTAGGGAAAGTCAGTTAAATTCCTGTGGTCTCCAGAATGTCAGTGTCTTTTACATAACTAACCAAGCAAACAAGCAAGATAGAAACAGCTGTTTCTATTCACTCAATTATGAAAAGCATGTGAATATTACTTCAAATTCTTTTTTCAGAATTTATTTTCATTTGAGAAGTCTCTAGAAAAGTTTGCTTTCTCTTTTTTAATTTTTCACAAATTTGTCTACCAGGCAATGTCTAAATATGTATTATACAGTTCAGTGTTGTCTAAAAATACCAAAGCTCTTTCTGAAGAAATATAACCAAGAGGACGATTGTTTATTTGCATGAATACTCATTAGGACAGTGCATTTCTCCTTCTGAGCAGATGATAATGTTGGAATTAAACTAGAAGTATGCAAAACTCATTACAGGCTTGTTAACACATCTCTTCTGTTGCATTGAAGTGTAAGAAGTTCATGTGCCAGTATCCCAATTACGTATATATACATATTTTTGCAGAAGATATAAATTTTTTCAGACTTCCAGTTAGCATGCACAGCTAAGGTTTATTCTGTGGAGAGAATTAAATTATCTCCTGTGAGGATGACAATTTGATTTTTTTTTTTTTTTCCTCTTTCTCTTTTTCTCACTCCTTTTTCTTTTTCTTAACTAGAAGGTATATGGGAACTTTGCTAGAGCTACTCTTGATTTTATGTTTTCTGCAGTTTAGATGAAAAATGACATAAGGTACACAGATGTGATTTAGTCTTCTCTTTACTCTTGGCACAGGGGACTGCTGTTGATGTGCCAGCAGTGTCAGGTCTGTCCAACTGGCTAATGATTTAGTATTCTATCCACTTTTTTATGGAAATGTAAGATTAACGAATGCAGAAATTGATATATTTTGGGCACCTAGATCTCCTTTTCTAAAAAGGTATGACCATTTTAATGAATATCCTAAAAGAATATGAGAAAATCCTTAGGAGCATTAGCCTCTGAAGCTTTTTAACAGCTGCATAAAATACCAGAACATTTCTATAACTAATGACTAAAAGAAAGATAAAAACAATTCAGACAACACTTATGGAACCCATGAGACCTTATCTATAGCTTGCCCAAGGTTATTTGCTCTGAAACTTAGATTTGCCAACCTGGGACCCATCATAGCTATAAATATGTTTGCTAGAACTTTTAATTCTATAGCACAAGCAAATTTATATCTTTTCTCTGTGGGACAGAAGCTGTTGACAAAGACTTTTTTTGTGCGTGCATCCAAAGTGCATACAGGGGAAAAAAGAAACAGTAATTTTTGATCACTGAGATGCCAAAGTAGGAGAAGGAATTAATTTGATTTTGTGGTGGTGTTTTATTTTACTTTTTTATATAGGAAAAAAAGAATAGTAAGGAATTAAAGAAGTGATAAAGAGTTTAAGAAACATTTAGCATTCCATGGGAAAACTACTGGAAAATCTGTCTTGCCCCTCATCCCAAATGAGTTTTATTTTGGGGTATTTAAGGATTGTTGAGTTGTCATCTGCCTCTTCCTCCTACACACACTCCTACTTCAAATTTTCTCAATACTTTATATCTTTTGATAAGGGAAATGGGCAAATAAGAAGAAAGATCAAGTGTCTGTAGGCACATTAAAAAGTACTTTTTTGAGAGAGCAGATCACAGAATCATAGAATTGCTCAGATTGGAAAAGACCAAGTCCAACCACAACTTAACCATACTACCCTAACAACCCTCTGCTAAATCATGTCCATGAGCACCACATCCAAACACTTTTTAAATGCATCCAGGGATGGTGACTCAATCACCTCCCTATTCCAGTGCTTAACAATGCTTTCTATAAAAAAGTTTTCCTGACATCCAGCCTAAACTTACCCTGGTGCAACTAAAGTCTGTTTCTCCATGTCCTGTCACCTGTAACCAGTGATAACAACCCATCTCTTGCTTTCCAATGGACAATTAAATTGGATTACACTCCCAAGAGGCAATTCCTTGGAACTACAAGAGTAGATACTTAAAAACAAGTTGCAAAGGTTCTCTTCACTCTCACAGTTCTGTCTTTTCACAGGCACCATTGTCATTAAATTTGCACTCTATAATCGGTTACAAGGGAGTTCCAGCTAGTTCTATTGGAAGGCCCAACACAGTTTGAGTGCTGAAATAACTTACCATCAAAGTGAATGCTTCCCTTCTGATCTTCTGCTTCAACTTGAACAATTTGTTTCCAGATCTTTCCTCCCTTGTACATCGTGGAGTATCCTGCTATTTATTCCAGGACTAGATTTTGTTAGATTAAACAAGGCAAGGTCATCTTGGTCTCCTTTTTGAACAGGCTACTATGACACTTTGGTATTTGTGAGACAATTTTCCTATTTAAATAACTTAGGGAATGCAGTTTATAAACTTTTTTTTTTTTTTCAGGAAAGAAAATATGGTTAAAAAAATACATTGCACATTCCATGATTCAACATGGAATCAACAGATTTATCTGCAAATGTGCAAATTCAGCTTCAGAGATAAGAGCATTGTTTATTTTACATCAAAGCACTAAGAATAACGGTGATGAATGCTTACTACGTTAATACTTGTAAGGGTGGTATTCCCAGAGGTTTTTGCTGAAGCTTGGTGGAAGAGATCAAAATTGATACTTGAGAATGTCATTATGTGTCCCAAAGCATTAGATTTAATTTTTGATTTCTTCATATTACATGTCAATAATGAGAAATGATACAGCTGAATAACATGATTAAATTATTTTTTTGAGGAGAATTAATTTGATAAACTTTTGCAATATAATGGGGCTTCTCTCTGTGTATACTCCCTCTACATTGGTCTTACTGTCCCTTTTTTCTTTATAAAGAGGGTGTTGTTCATTAATTTCTCCCAAAATTTGTTTCTAAAAATTGCAATTTCTGGTCTGCTTTGTTGGCTGGATTTTCCACTTTGTAATATTGCAACTGTGCACAGTTTGTCTCCTTGCTGAAATCTGAGGTTTTCTTGACAGCCCTTAGGATCTTTAAACCTGTCATTTTTAAATGTATTGCTGTCTATTTCAGCTCTGCATCTGGTAGATTGCCAGAGCAGACGGGGTCACATTTTGAAGTGAAAAATCTTAGAAGGCTCAGCATTGTAACTCAAACCTTTATTTCAAAACTAAGTGACTAAAACTACAGCAGCCCCTCTTCCTCAATATGTTATTCCCAGTAGTCAACCCTATTTTCAAGGCAGACTCATCTTTTTGAAAGATACTGTGAGGAGGATCCTGGGCTGAGGCGGTTAAGTCCCAAGAAGACATTTGGAAGCAAATAGCTCACTCAGAGTTACAGTTGCACTCTAAAAAGTATTCTGGTGCTATAGAATTATAAGATTGTGCTTGTGTGAAAGACAGGAGGAAATATGAATTTCCTTTACTACCTCTCCCTGATTCCCAAGTCACAGAGTAGAAGAGTGAGGACAATAACTGGCAGTTCTGCTTATGTATCTATTTTTTTTTTTCTGCTCCAAGTACTGTGAAACCTAGTAAAACCTTTTATTCTGCTTATGAAAGCAGAGCAATCATACAGCTGCAGAGCATCACTAAACATTGTATCATTATGTCCTGCCACGTTATTACTCAAACAGGCATGTAGTGATAAAGTAAAGCAAACAAAGAAAAATAACCATATGTTCTGCTTTCTTTCCTCAAATCCTGAGTTGCTGATGAATGCCGTTCTCATAACTACTTCCATGCCTCATTGCACAAAAGAGAGGAAATATGTGAACACTTAATTTCTTCATCTTTTCATTAGTTTCTTTGCAACTATCAGTTCCAAAATATATTTAAGAAAAAAAATCAGAAATGGATCCCAACAGTTTCTGTGATATTGTTTAACTTTCCGCTCATGTTCATGA